TATCTCTTCCATGTGGGGGTGTTGAGGGGGTTTTGCTGGTCACTGGGAAGTCCGAGGACATTTTCCTCTGGTGTGGGAAAGGAGGTGGTCATCACAACAAAAACGAATTTATTCACATGTGAACAGTGTTTCTCGGTGCACAGGGGACATCTGCATTCTCACATTTGATCCTCAACAGCAATCCTGATCTCATTTCCCCAGTGAGAGCTTTAAGGCTCAAAGGAACTTTAAGATAGACTCAAGCCATTCAGACGGAGGGAAACAAAGCTTGGATAGAACTCAGAACTTCAGTTTCCAAGGTCAATGTTGTTTGTACATCAGCAGATTAGAGGAGAGCCAGGGCACAGAGAGGATGTGTTTAATAAGTTGATGCTGAATAAATGAGCTGTCTTATAAGATAATATATGTACTGATGGGTTGGAGCACAGATCTCAGGCTCCAGAGTCAGCCTGACCCACATTTGAACCTTGTTTCTACTTCTTACAATCTAAGTGACCCTCAGCAAGTTATGCCAGTATTTCTCTGGGCAGAGATACTGATTCCCCAAGGCTGTACGTGAGGAGAATTCTGTTTCTACCAGGGCCTTCATAATGAAATGCTACTTTACAGACAGCGGGGGGGTGGCCCCAACGCCTCATCTCGGATCGCTTCTAAATTCTTCAGGGGAGCTGGTCACAGTTTGGCATTACACAGAGGCCACAGCCTGCAAAACGGAGTAGCTAAAAAAGTAATAACTTGCTATAATTGCTCGTAGTAGCTAGTATTCTCTTCTTTTTTTGTTAGTTTTGACAACAGTGAATGGAGACAGTCACTGAGGATTTCTGACAGATGGAAGCACAGCGAGCATGTGCCATACACACTGCAGAGTCTGACACCTTGCAAACCTGAGAGAAGGCAGAAATTGCAGCGCAATGAAAATTATTTCTCTCCAGCTCAGCATGAGAAAAATTCATTTGCTCCTTTTAAGTTGGTTTCCACTACTTCATTTATCATCCTGATTTAAGGCAGGGGAAAACTCACCTTAACCTTTGCTTTGGAGACATCTACGGCAATATACAAAGTTTAAATCCCAGTGGCAGTTCACATGAAGAGGGCACGGGGTGGAAGTGTAAGTGGTGGTGGTGAAAAACGACTTTGCAGTTACGACTGCCACCTTGTGGCCAAAGATAAAACTGTCACTAGAAAAAAAAGACTATTAGCCAATGTGAATAATGGCTTCAGTTGCTGAACGAACACTGTGAGAAACCCCTGTGTGGTCAATAATACTTTGATATACTGTATAATTTATATACAGTAAAATCTGTGAAAGCAGGAACTATGTAAGGCAGAAATCTGTCCGAGAAGGAAAACTCAAATATTTTCCACTAAAACAAGCGACAGACAAGTGGTACGACTGCACCTTGTCAAAGGCGGAACACTTGCGAGACCCAGAAAAACAAGGCAGTCCCATCAAGTTCCAGCTATCATACTATATCACAGTATCACTCTATTTTCCTGGAAAATTCTGCATTGTATAAGCCGTATTAATTAGGATCTCAATCTTTTCTGGGTTAATTTCTTGTTCTACTCTGTGATAACATTATTTAATTGTTGGTGAAACCTCCAACTATCCAGGGATTTCCTCTTATACATAAAATTCCCCAGGAGTTGGGTAGGAGATATTGCTATATTTGCTTCATCAGCAGTTACTTGGAAAAATGGCTACTGTCTGGGCCAGATCAGGCTCACTACGTATCAGCTGCCTGCCTGACTCAAAGCTTATCAGCCGGGTATCTAATCTAACAGTGTATGAAACATTAGTCATATGAAACACCTCAGGCCTTAGGAAGGTGATCTGAGCTGCAGCCTCACTCTGTGGCTAATCACGGTATGATTAGGAGAGCTGAGTTTGAGCCCCAGGTAGGTGCCTAGTACGAGCTTATCAGTCATCTTTCTTTAGAAGAACACTTTCAAGTCCTGCGCTGTAACTCCATTCTTCACTCCCCAGCCCCCAAAAAACGATGAGGTGGAGTGAGGATGGGGAAAGGCTTTATGTTGGCAAAGCTGGAGCACAAGAAATACAGTTTCCAGGACACTCCAGTAGCAGTGAAGAAGGGGAGGACACGAAGCTCCAAAGGAACGGAGAACCCAGGAGGTGCAAGGAGAGAATCAGGGCCAGAGGGCAGGGGCACAGGGGCTCCAGGGCTGTCAGGAGCAACTGAGGGCCCCTGGTGAGGAGGGTGTGGCCTGAAGGAACCCAGACCCTCAGGTGAAGGAAGAAGGAGTGCAGGGGGTACCACTGCCCCAAAAGGCCATGTGCTGACTCTCCAGTTCTTTCTGATATGCTTGGGCAACATAGGAAGCCCATGCAATGTATCCCCTTTAATGCATTTCCTGTCTCTCAGCTCCCAATCTTGCCCTGCTCCAGATCTGTCCTTTCCAAACAGATCTGATCACAAGTGACCCTTAAACATGAGGGAAAAAAATGCTTAGCCTCACTCATAGAGAAACACAAATGAGAGCATCAAAGATAACATTTTTAAAAAATCTCTCAGATGATCAAAATGATAGCTAGCAAGCCATGGGAGAATGAGATGGGAGGGAGAGGGAAAGAGGCCTTCTCCCACGTGGTTTCCGAGTACAAATTGAGGAATGCAGCAAAGCAAGTGATTAAGAACCTGGGCTCTGCAGTGAGACTGCCTGGCTTCAAAACCCGCTGTACCACTTAGAAGCTCAACTTCTTTGTGCCTCAGTTTCCTCATCTGTAAAATGGGGTGCTAATAACAGTTTTTTTTTTTAATACTGTTACTGTATAGATTAAATAGGGTTATATACATAAAGCACTTAGAACGGTGCCTGATATATTGGCAATAATGCTAGCTATCTTTAGCCAGTTTGGCAATCGAAATTTTAAACTCACATGCCTCCTGACCAACCACTACCACTTCTAATAATGTATCATATAGACATACTGGAGTCCTGGTGGCACAGTGGTTAAGAACTCAGCTGCTAACCAAAAGGTCAGGGGTTCAAATCCACCAGTCGCTCCCTGGAAACCTTATGGGTCGTTCTACTCTGTCCTGTAAGGTCACTATGCGTCACAATCAACTCGATGACAATGGGTATAGACATACTAGCACAGTGTGTAAACAAGCAAAAGCACAAGGGGCCTCACTGCAGCAGTCATTGGAATAAATACATAGCAACAGGGAAGAATTTAAATAAATTGTGGTATGTTCGTAAAATGGAATACTATGCAGCCATTAAAAATGGGGCAGCTAGGTGCTTATCAGTGTGAAACAATCTCCAAGATATACTATTACCTTTGGGAAAAAAAAGGTGTAGAAGTGGGTAAATATACTACCATTTGTGGTTTTTTAAAAAAATAAATATGTATGCATATACATGTTTGTGCGTATATTCTTTTATGTGCAAAAGTGTCTCTGAAACGCTACACACTAAAGTAGTCATAATTGTTTCTTTCATAGAAAGGATATTTGGAGGATACTTATAGTAACTATTCCAAAAAATTGGTTTTTAATAGTTAAAAAAATACAATTTCTTAAATTTCTTACAGGACTTTCCATTGCTCTTAGGACTAAAATTCAAACTCGTTAACATGGACAGCAAGGCCCTTCATGGCCTGGCCCTGGCACTCTCTGCAGCCTCAGCGTCACCAGGCCTCCTCCACCTTGATGCTCATGATGCTGAGCTTTATTCACACTTGATGCTCTCCCTCCCCCCAGACCTATGTGCCTGCTGTTTACCGAATAGGGCATTCTCGCCCTCATTCTCTTTGCCTAACTACTTCTAACTCACCCTTCTGGTTTCACCTTAGTTGTCACTCTCCCTAGAGACGGGCTGTCAGCATCCCTGGACCAGGTGAGATGACCCTATCCCGTTCCCTCTGCACCCTCTACTTCCCTGATGGTAGCACAGACAAGGGACATGTCCAGAATTCTCATCCTAGAATGTCATTTGACAGCAGGGAGCTTCTGACACATCTGTCGCAGACCTTCTTAGTGCCTTCTCAGGAACCATTCTCCCTCTTCAATGATAACAGAAGACCAAGTTTGAGCCCAATTCTAAGGGGTCAGCAAAGTGTCCCACACCAGGGGATGAGCCAATCATGGTAAACCAGTTTATCTTGGCCAGATATTCGCTTTTCCAGCCTCTCTTGCAGCTAAGAGTGAGCAGATGAACCAAGTCGAGGAATGACTTTCTCTTCCTGATAAACAGTGGTCCATGAAGCCTGTGCCTCTGGCCCCATGCTTCCTCCTTTGGATGCTGTCATGTGAAGATGTGATGTCGAGGGCTATGGCAAATACCTTGAGACCTCAAGGAAGAAATGCCCAGTGTCACTAAGCAACTAGTCCAACTCTAGCACTGCTGCCACCAGACTTCTCTTTATGTGAGATAATAAGAAAAAATTTCATACTAATGAACCAACCCCACCCTTTCTGTTTATTGTTTAAGCTACTCTTGGTTGGGTATTCTGTTACCTGCAGCCAAAAACACTCGTAACTACACACCATCACAAGTCAGACAGACTTGAGTCCTAGGATCCATCCAGGAACTGAGCAAAGAATCTCTGTTTGAGGCCAGGATTGTTGATGGTCTGAATTCTTGTGCCCGGGTCAGTAGCAGTAGAACATTTAGAAGCACAGCCAAGGTCAAATTTACCAAGATAATGAGCCCATGACATTTACTTTATTCTTAGACTTCTGTAACCTCTCATTCTGCTACAGAAAGCTTATGTGTGAAGACCTTTTCAATTTTAAAACACACAATCCTTGAAGAGATCTTTCCCCAGGACAGTAAGAAAGGAAGGGGTTAGTTCATTAGTTTCAGCTTTATCCTGGAGGTCATCAGAAGCCACCAGTACCTTCATATGACCCTGTCTTGGGAACCCATCCCAAAAAAAAGTTTCTGATACTCTGCTTTATACAGTCTTCAACATCTTATTTTTCAACTCTTTAGGAAAGGAGACCATTTAGGTGATGAATGCGAATCATACTTACCGGGGTCTGAAAGCAGCAGAACAGCTGAGTGAGGAAGGGGTGATTGCGGGCCAAAGACAGGATCCTTTTCTCCGTCATTGTGCATTCCACGTCATCATCCTGGAGGATCACGTCCTTCTTCAGCACCTTCACGGCATAGAGTTCTCCTGTTTCTTTTATTCTTGCAAGCATCACCTATGGCAAAGCAGAAAGAGGGAGCATGAGAGAGTACTCTTGAAATTCCTAGGTGTGGGCACACATGGAGAAGAACTAGAATGCCATGTGAGAAACATTGAGTGTGTATACATACACACGCACACACACAACATATACACACATGCTTATGTTAGCACAGTTAAAGCCAAGACTCACCTTCCCAAAACTTCCCTTCCCCAACACTCGGATGAACTCAAAGTTGTCGATACCAAGTCGGTTGGAAGAATTAACCCCGACCCCATTTCCTTCTTTGGTGCTTTCCTTTCCTTGTCGTCTTAAGGTTGATCTGGAAACAAACTTCTGCAGAGAAAAGTAGGAATACACTGCCTCATAAATCTCAGCATGAACATGAAGCGTTTATGGATGGAGAAGACCCAGGAGCAGGCTCAACCCTCAATACAACTCCTGGGGAAAGGGATCAATCAGTTCATCTGGATGTGTGATCAGGTTTTGAAACTCAAAACTACCTCAGTATCAGCTGCTGATCTGGGCTTACTGCTATTTGAGGACGAAGCGTTTTAAAATATGTCTAAGCCACTGAGATTGGGTTGGCACGCAAATGGAAGTACATAGAAACAACAAACGCTAAGAGTGCCACCTGGTGGCCATTTCTTACAAAAAGCGGGTTTCACGTTCGCATAGAGAATCAAGTACCATTCAGTACCAGTATACGGATATCTGAAGCAAAAATTTTTTATACAATATTTAAATTATATAAAAGAAATAAAAATTCAATGTAAATTTTGAACAATGAAAAAACTTCAGAAGAACAAAATTTAAAATACCCATAATCCCACCAGACCCACCCCCCACCCAAAATAAAATCTGTTAAAATATTGATAAATGTCTATACACGGCTTTTTAATGCATGGTTGATTTTTAAAAATATAATAAAAGTTATGGTTTAATAACGCACTTTTCTTATTTAACCTTCTGTCGTATGTATCTTCCTATCCTTAAATATCCTTTAGGATTCCTTTAAGAACGTGAGTTCTAATAGCTGTTCAATATTCCATTTTACGGAGAGATCATAATTTATTTACTAATTCCTCTGATATATAAGTTGTCTCCTATTTTTCACTATTAAACATAACACTGCAGTGAACATACTTGTATACAAATCTTCAACAACAGGGTCATTAGGAGTCAAGCTCTTAAGCAGATTGTTTGGGTTCAAATACCAGCTCTGCCACCTAACCCTGTGACCTTGGACAAGTTAACCAGCCTCTCAATGTCTCAGTTTCCTTTTCTGAAAAAGGGAATGTTATAGCACCTCCCACATGTGTAGTCACGAGGAGTAAATGACGAAATGCATAAAAAGCCCTCAGGTCAGTGCCTGGCAAGTACATAATCATTCAACAAATTTAAGCTGTGTTGTTGTCATTATCTATTTTCTTAGAATGATTTCCTAGAAACTGAGTTCCTTGGGCCAAAGTCTGTGCTAATTTTGAAGACTTGTGATACACAGCCAACTTGCCTTCTAGAAAGGTTGACCAGTGTACCCTCCCCCCTGCATAATGGGAGTCCCAGTTTCCTTGCCCTGAACACACAGAGGTAAAGCTGGCCTCCTCAGGCAGCTCTCCAGTCCAATCACACTGCGCTCATGCCTCATCAGCGTGCCTAAAAGCAAGGGACTTCTGTAGCTCACCACCTTGGAATATGCATAAGACAAGCTACCACTAGACAACCCAGATCAAAAGCCTAAGGTACCTGGAGCTTTTGACCTAGTTAGCTAATAACAACAACAACAAACATCTATTTGAGGCAACTTCTAAGCAATGTTTTACAACAAACCCACTGTGCAACAGCCTGAAACTACAAACATTTTACTTAATCCAGTAAAACAGAGATAGCAAGATATACAATGGATCATCTTAAAAATCCAATTGTTTTCATAGTCTCTCCTCTAGGTCTGTGATCACAAATTTTTCAGAAATAAAAAAATGTCACTCCTCCACTTAAATACTTCCCCTGGTTGGGCTGGTACTGGCTAGAAAACTCTACACCAGTATTACTCAATCTTTTTCTTTTTTGGTCTTGTTTTATTTTAACCCATTCTGCTCTTTTGATAAACTTAAAATTCTCTGTCTCTTTTTAATGTTGTACTGTCAAATAAGAAGTGATTTCATGGTTCCCACTATTACATATAATATTAAAGATATTTGGTCCAAATGATGAGTGACATTCCCCATCCTTGGAGACTGGGCCATATGGCCTATCTTATTCTCACAGCATTTTGTAAGCCCTGTCCCAAGCCAAAATCCATAATATCCATTCTTCAGGAATAGCTGTTCCATGAATAAATCCTCCTCACTGTATTAGTATCCTGCCCACCTACCCACAAGACAGACGGATACAATGGACTTTGTTAATGCCTTCCTGAAATCAAGTAACACAATATCAACACAAATCCCTGATCTAGCAGACAGGGACCTTTCAGTAAAAGGCAAATGGGGGTGGTTGGTCCTGACATCTTCATGAGCTACTAAGAAACTCATAGTGATTACGCTTTCCTTTCTAAGTACCAAAGATTATTTAACAGTTCTGTCTAGAATTTTCCTGAACTGGACATCAAGCGACACCCTTCAGATATCACAGCTGTACCCATGGCTATTTCCCAGCTCTCTGCAGACCCTGGCCAGGGGGGCAGCAATAGGACACGGGCCTGGGAAGTGGTCGAGGTTCTAATGAACTATGGCAGGGGGAGGTCACTCAGGAAGGTCACAAGACAAAACGTGTCCATGGCAATGACAGCTCCACCCACTCCTGAGAGCCAAGAGGAAGGAACTCCTGTCTGTTGCTGAAATTGAGAGACAAATTCACAATCTATAAACAAAAACTATCGAGCAGCTAAATTCCAGGGCTGTGAAGAACCTCAGAGATCTTCAAGTTCAACCACTTTAGAGATGAGGAAGCTGAGGCTCATAGTCACTAGTTAACTGCCTTGCATCATCCCCCAGCCATGAATGTAACCCAGGCCCCCAGATTCCAGATTTTCTATCACACCACACTGACAGGAAGCCGATCTAAAAAAAAAAAAAAAAATCCTTTTCCTGCTTCCTGCTATATCTGCATGCTCATTATTTCTTGTCATATAATTGTTCATAGAATCATATTTATGGAGCAAAACGCTCTTAAAGGGATGCACTAAATCTGTTCATTGCATTTGCTAGATTAGGGACTTTGATTATGCCACATACTCTCATTCAAGTTTCCACAGCTGAACTTCTAAATTAACATACGTGACAAGAAGCAAAGTCTCACCGAGGTGGGGGAGATGTTTCCGGGTTGGAGACCCATCCCTGCCAGGGTCTTCGCTAGCTCCACAGCGTTCACCCCACAGTTAGGGGCCACGTTCGCTTGACATCGGATATGTACATTCATTTTACATACTGGAGGGAAGACAAAAACAGAATTCCACATTCAGAAAGAAAGGCAACACGTACTACAAAAAAGAACTGCAATAACCTGAGATTATTACAGGAATGCTACAGGCTGAACAAGGTCATCTTCTCATAAAATTAAACTTACACTAATAACAAGTCCTGACGTTATGTGCAGAAGCAGAAAGCCTGGCATATGGAAGATTAATACATTTCAAATACATATGTTTCACCTGGAAATGATGAAACACATTCATCTAAAATCATATGTAACAGCCATTGCTGATGTACCAGCATAACTCAATATAAAGATCAAAACATTCATCACAGTGACAATTCACAGTCAATTAAATAACAAGGCATCATGTCAACAATTTTTATTCTTTTCCAGCTATCTTTCGATAGTATGATAAAAGATAGCAGTCTAAATGCCACATAAAGATCATTGAACAGGATGGAGATGGAGTTTCTGAGAGAAAATCTTCTAAATAAAGCTTTCTTTCTGAGTATTGTTGTGGTTGGGCAGACCTCACAGAACAGACACGGGCATCCTGTGGGGCTGTGGTTCTCAGTGCTTGTAGCCTGTGCTTCTAACTGCCTCATGGAAAAAAAAAAAAAAAAAAATAAAGCAACTTTTAAAAACTTTTTTTAAAGGTCAGAGTAAATGGCAGTTGGAAGAGGAAAAAGAAGCAAGCTAAGCTCTTGGTGCACAGAGCACCGGCTTGGGACGATGAAAGACAGGGGGTTTAACCAGCAGAAAGAACACTCCAGCACATCTTCCCACCATGGGCCCTGCCGATGGGTGCCACGGTGGAGGCGGCAAGCAACACATTCCTGTTTATGGACTGTCAGTCCATCTTTGGAGGCAGGTGTAATTCCAGGTTTTGTGGGGCTTGAAGTTTATATAATTTAGGGGCCCTCTTTAAGAAACAAAATACCAAATCAAGTAGAAGCCTTGAAAGGGTCCTTGCAAAGAGGGGGCTCTCTAGCTTCATTAGCTTCATAGGAAATTCACCTCTCCTGGGAAGGCTGGTATGGAGACACACAAGCCTACAGTGTCCTTTCAAAACCACCACGTTGACAATAAAAGCAAAAATTTATAGGAGCCAGCTCACTGCAGGTATGACACCCTCAGACCACCAGCAACAAGAACACCACAGTGAGCCTCATGTATGGCTCTGCATGTCAGCAATGACCGTATGGAAGCAGCAAGTGAGTTTCACACTGGAAACCACAGCCAGGTGAGACCATCCAGCTTAAGAACAAGGAGAGACTGAACCAGAGCCCTAAAAGGCATAAAGGAGCTGGCTGCTGGTTTTGGTTATGTAAGAATTATTAAATAGCTTTCTAGAGGAATAGATGAATTTGTTGTTCTTGAAGACAAACACTGATTCCTTTTTTATTGACAGAAGCAGGCAGTCAATGAAAGTATCCCTGAATCCATGTCCGCTTTGCCTCCCCCATCTCTCTCCTCTACCAGTGACTGTAGCTGATAAGGCCTCAGGATGAAAGCCTGGTATTCCAACAGGAGTGGTGCACCCCATGACACCCGCATCATTACAGCAACACTCAATGGGATATGACGCAAGGCCAGCAGCTTCCCAACTCCTGAAAGGACATGGATCAGCCTTACCCTCTCACACCCTTTGCTAAGGCAAAACTCCAAACTCTGGCCCCACTGGGCACAGTTAGTGAAGTGCAAGCCTATAGCCAAAGCTTTAAGCATCCTTCACTCCACCTACTCCTCAAATTTCATCACAGTACTCTTTCAGAACACCTGGGCCACTCTATGATGCTTCCCAACTCCATTCCTGCTTATTTCTGGTGAGGTCATCAGACCTACTCTCCTGACACTTCTTACCCATGACCTAACCTTCCTTTTGGCCATCTCACCTCTACCATCTTCCATTCCTGACCACAACCCCATTCTCCCTCTTTCAAATTACCTATTAAAATACACAATAACTAGTCTGTACTCAGAAATAAATGAATGAATGAATAAATAAATATGAGTGAGAGAGTGAGAAAGAAGGAAGAGAAAGAAGGGAGGGAGGGAGGGAGGGACAGAGGAAGGAAGGAACTGAACTTAACATTTGACTTAGTGTTCTAAGGTTAGGAATTCTTTGGATCAGATATATTTCTCTTTACATGCTCAAAAAGTGGTACATGAATAGAAAATTACTAAGATATTAGTTTACAAAGTATTTAAAACCATCTGCCCTAGGTCAGATTCTGAACCTATAGAATTCCCAAAGCTTGTAGTATGGTATTCTCATGAAGAAGTGGATTCCCAGCACCCCAGCATCTCACTTTTACACTGAAGCCCTTGTCGCATTATCCCCCAAAGCAGGGAGCCACAGTGATCGCAAAATGTTGGCACTTTGTAGTTGTGGATGTTGAACTTGTGTGGAATGTTGATTCCAAACCTCTGTTCAGTAATCTGTAAAAAAGGAAACAAAAAGAGTTAAAATTCCACACCAACATCTTTTGTAAAAACTGTAATAGAAGCCCACCAAATACAAATTGTTACTATTATACCTGAGCTGGGTATATTATTTTACTGTATTCAGCCATGATTAATTACTCAGGTCTTTCCAACCAGATTAAGCACATTTTCTAATCAACAAGACTGGACAGAAACATGGGGTGTGTATTAGATCATTTGTCACTTTGGGAGATAAATAGATATTAAGATTTTTACATTCAGGCTTTATTTCTCTCTCTGCCAACCTCCTTACACCTATATCTATTTTCTAGAACCTTTTTACTCCAGGATTAAATTGGTCTTCTATAGACTACATATACTTGCTATTACTACAGGTTCTTCCAAAAATTATGTTACAGGAAAAAAAAAAAAAAAAAAGAGAAGAAAGAAAAAGAGGTAGGTACCCAGAGGTGGAACCAAATAGAAACAAAGAAGGAATTCACTCCAAAGTGACATTAAATTCAGCCCTTCTGGCCTTTGCTAGAACATTCTGACAATCTGAGCATAAAGTCTCTGGTTTAATATCACATATTGTCTCCAGCAAATAATTACACTAAGCCTATGCTCTACAATCTACATCACAATTTTAAAGCAGTAACAACAGATCCACACATAACAAGGACTGGGGGCAATTGTTGTTCCTCTTAAACCTTTTCTGGTTTCTTTCTCATAAAAGCTGTGGTTCATGGCTGTATTTTTACTCTTTAACACTCCTGTATGTAAAGAACCACTGAGTTATAGAGCCATCCTTTCCAACGCATCTATAAATCCATTGTCATTATCAGCAACACTGTTTTCCACCTCTAGAATTTAAAATGTATGCCTATCCCAGATGAATGCACTGTGGCTGGCAAGAATTAGGACCAAGCTCCTATGTACAGGTATACATCCTCCCTGAAATTTCTTAAGAGGCTTGAGGAGGCTAATGGTTTCCTTAGTTAGAAAAGGCAATTTATATTTAATGTGTTTTTCCCATTACTTCCATCTTGTTTAACTCTCACAAAAACTTCACGAGAGATGTATTGATTCCATTTTTAGATTGAGGCTAAGAGAGGTTCTGAGTGTTGTCCAAGCTCATAGAGCAGAGAGCAAGCAGAGGCTGGATTCAGCATTCAAATCCAGGTTGTCTGAGGCCAAGCTCAGGGCTCTTTCACACACCAAAGCTCCTCCCAAGTTAGAACTGATCCATATAGTCTATACCCGGCTGACCACTAACGTGGCCATCTCAAGGAAAGAACATGCTATATAAGCTCAGAAATACAAACGCCATAACACAAAAAGGAGACAGATTTCAATTCTAAAATCCCTATGAAGGGCAAAGAGGGTGGGAGGAAGGGAGGGGTGAGCTGGAGAGGAGAGAGAGAGGGTATGAAAGTAAACTGCTATCCGCTTACCTTCGAATCCACTTTGTTAATGTTTTGGCAAGTACAGGCTGTAACAATTAGATGATGGCAGCGCTTGTGGACAACACAGGTGCACACTAGGAAATTGAATCCAGTGATTATACATTTATCAGAGGCTCACAGTCTAGCCAGCTACAACAAACAAGGGCTGCGCCATGTCACCGTGACTCAATTTAGACATCTGGCCTGTATGGTGGCAGCCACTGCTCCCTCTTTCCTATGTTCTTTGCTACAGTACTAAGTCAGGTCTTTGCTCATGTTCGAACTATTTGTAGTCAAGTCCTGAGCTTATTTCATCCTTCTGGACTCTTCTTTCTTTAATTTATCCTGTATCCATCTCCAGAGAAACCTTTCTACAATGTGATTCTGACCATCGCAGCCCCATGATCTAAAATCTTTAATGGCGTCTCACTGCCAATCAATGAAGTTTCAAATTTCCCACCCAGTTTCAGACGCTCCACAGGCTACTTCAAGCTTACACGTCACCTTTCTTCTATGTGAGTTATTCGTTCCAATAAAAACTAGACTAAGTTGCTCTTCCTAGAACAAGTCTTCATCCTCCTCCACACACCATCCATGCCTTTCCCTATCTTCTTTGTCTATTGCCTAACTAAATCTTAAATTTATTTACAAGACCTAACTCAAAGACTATCTTTTTCATAAAAATACTCTACCTCTGCTTCTCTTCTAGATTGAAACAATCTCTCTCCCTCACTTCAAACCTTCCACATGCTGCCTCCCAACGTTCTCAGAGTTCCCAGCATGATGCCTGGAACAGA